TATTTATATATATATATTATTAAATTATATATATATATATATATATATATAATGTTCATGTTCATGTATAAAAATAATAATAAATCATAAATTTAATATTATATTACAGACTGATATTTTTTAAATTTGATTAGATAACAATTATTTTTATCTCGTTTTTAATAATTTGATGATAATAATACCTCTAGTCGATATAAAATGATTGAATTATAAAAAGACTTATTGAAGTGCGCCATAACTCCATAAGAGGCGCTGGTTGTCGATCAATAGATGCAATCAGATGCTTTAGAATGGTCAGGAACTGTTTGAGATGTTTAAAACAACATTGAAACAGCAAGAATGACGTTGTCCTACAGTTACACGCCGGATTATTTTTCTTTGACAGATATTTTGTGTACAGAGGAACGGATATCATGCAAAGTAGAAGTTACGCTACCTCGTTTGGGTAAGCTGTAAAATTTTATCACATCTTTGCTAAAACACTATAATTTATTTATGAGTAATCCATATAAAATTATAATAACACAAACGAGAGAAATTGTATTCTTTTTAGTTTACTGAAAGGTATTCTGCATTGTTATGGCTATTAATTAAGCTTTTAAATTGTAATAGATAAAAATTATGATTAAGTTTATCGATTAAGGATAGCGTTTTCAAAACAAAAAACGAATATTTTATTTCTAATATTATATTTATTTTCTATAGAAAATAGAAGTTTATTTTTTTTATACAATTGTTCTGTATTATACAAATAGGTTTTTTGGATCTTTCTTCCGAATCAGAAGATCTAAAACCAGGTACAAAGTTGGAGCTTCCACTATGGTTGGCACAGCCACTGAATAAAGTAAAAGAATCAATAGTTAGTGTAGATATACCTAAAACGTATAAAGAAGGATACAGGTATATATATTTTATAAAATTATTTTGTCAGTCTCAAAAGAAATTCTCTAACAATTTTATATATATTACAGAGAAATTTTATTGGCAGATGCCTGTACTGTTGTATTGAATAAATGGAATCCATATTACTATGAATTGGGAATGTATTTGAGAAAGTTCAACAATCGCGATTGTGAAATGATAATTGACAGTTTATTATTAGTAAGTGGCATTTTATTAATTTGAAACCATTCGTTAATTCATTTATTACATTCTATATATCTTTCAGACCTTCAGATCGCGTTTTAGATTAGTTATGGACTGGGCACAAAATCCTGTTTCTGATCCAATGCTTAATAATTTACTACCAAGATTAGAGAGAGACTTGTTTCTCACAGGCAGAAAGGCTAAGGAACAATTAAATGAATGGTTAAGG